TGATCTGCCACTACAGATTTGTCAATTTTTTAATCAGGAACGGGTTCAAAGTTCGTGAACCGGCACCCAACTCCAAGATTTGCCAGTCCTCGACTGTTGACAAGCACAGGCTTGCCATGTTGGTTGGGGCCGCAGATCAGGATTATTATTGTCTAGATGAACGCAGATCATGTCCGGAACAGCACGTTAGAATTCTATTTGTATTCTTTTCAGCAACAAAGGCACGAGAAACTATACGTACACTGTACTTATTGTGCTTCAGTCACCCTTATATGTTACTGTCGCTGATGCTAGCCCCGAGTGAAAACACGAAAATAGAGGCTAATATACTTATTGATCCAGCAAGTGCACTGATTTCTGAAGTGCTGCCTGAGACTCGCTTACTGGTTTCTATTGGTCAGTGACTGTCAATGGGCCTATAACCCACGTCATATAGGGCAAAAACGCATGAAAAATTTATGTTGATGCCACAAGATTAGGTCTTGTTTATTGTGCTCGATTGTCAGATAATGCCTATTTTAGCAGGCTTACTGTTTATCAGAACATTCCTGTCAAATAATATCCGTACGCACATGGCAGCAGAAACTATAAAGAAGTGTACTTTCTGCAGCCGGAGAGGAATACCCTTGATATTTTCGTTTTATTGGAAAAGTGAACGATTATCAAAATTCTCTACCAGCAGTTCTATTTGGATTTGCGTATTTTAGAGAACCCTATCAAGCACGTTGTGAATTGGAACCCACTAGGACAAGAGAGACCGAAATGACCATTTCTGGCTTATAAGCCGTCATCAACCAGTTATACTCAATCCCAGGGGTGATGACTCGACATTCGAACCCACGAAATTCGGTGCGAAACAATTTCGCAAAACAATTACTAGAGCAGTCGCCGAAATTCACGCAACATGTCAACCTATGCGAAAGATTAATACTCTTTAGCTAATCGGCATTGATTCAAGTTGTGATATTGATTATCGTGTAGTCTATACTGAAAAAACTTCAGTCATAATAGGATGTGTGTTTTTTAACGAGCTTCGATCTGACCACTAACAAAACTTATGTATTGAAAAAACTTGGCTAATTAAGTAGTATGCCTTTTTATCATTTATTTTGACTGCCTTTATAATTTCAAATATATTTTATGGAAAACATGCATGAAAAAATTACTTGTTTTACTGGTTTGATAGCAAATTACGCCTTCTTTAAATTTTATACTCAAAGAAAGGATAG